ATGCTGAATATCAACGGTGTTGAAGATGTGCGATATCTCTCAAGCATCTGTACTGAACCACTCTTGGAGTTACACTGTTGATTGATTAATAAAGATTAAGCCACCCAAGAGGTGGTATGGGCATGAATAGCCCGTAATGATGATAATTTGCTGTCGACTGCTTATATCATCAATCCTGCACTTCACCTGACCATCCTCTAGCTAGTTTGGGAAGAAGTATTAATTCTAATTAGTGGACTAATTAGAATTAAAAGAGCATCTCATTATCTGTACATAAGCTAATGAGAATATGGAGCAAGTACTGTATATTACTGACATAATATACTTGTTTACTTTTCCATTGGAGACGTTTGGTGCCATGGAGAGGGGAAACCTGCTGCTTGGGTAGCAGCTTCTCCTCCATATCGACCTACCCTGGTTTTGTGCCCTGGAGAGGCCACTCTAGACCGAAAACCAGTGGGCAACTCCATAGTCTCCTGAGACTGAAGGATGCCTACTATATATACTTGCTAAAAGACTGCAGAAATGTTGATAGCAGAGTACTACAGGGTTCAGTTCTAGCACCAGTAATGTTCATTGTCTACATAAATGATCTACCAGAAGGAATACAAAATTATATGAACACATTTTTTATATGAACATGATCATGAACATGATTATAAGAACATGATCTACCAGAAGGAATACAGAATTATATGAACATGTTTGTTGATGATGCCAAACTACTAGGGAAGATAAGAAACTTAGATGATTGTCATGCCCTTCAAGAAGACCTGGACAAATTAAGTGTATGGAACATCACTTTGCAAATGGAGTTTAATGTGAATAAATTTCAAATTATTGAATGTGGAACAGGAGAAACTAAGCCCCACACAGCCTTCAAATTATGTGACAAAACTTTAAACGATTCTATTAAAAAAAGAGATCAAGGAGATTTTCTGGATATAAAATTGTCACCTGAGGACCATATAAAGAATATTGTGTGAGCAACATATGGTATGCTTTCCAACTTTAGAATTGATTTTAAATACATGGATGGCGAAAGACATTATTTCACAAATTGTTTACAACCTTTGAGGTCAAAATTGGAATATGCAGTGGTTGTATGGTATCCATATCTCAAGAAACACACAAATAAACTGAAAAAGGTGCAAAGACATGGAACTAAATGACCAAGAACTAAAAAACAAGTGCTATGAAGAGAGGTTAAAGGTGTTAAATATACCAAAGCTAGAAGATAAAAGAAAAAGAGGTGATATGATCAATATGTACAAAATAGTAAAAGGAATCAACTAAATTGACAAAGAGGAATTTAAAAAAATGGCACTTCAAGATGAAGAGGACATAGGTTCAAACTAAGGAAACAGAGTGGCCTAAAAAACATTAGAAAGTTCACTTTTGCACAGAGTGATAGATATCTAGAACAAGTTAAATGAGAAGGTGGTGGAGGGCAAAACCCTCAATAGTTTCAGTATGACAAAGAGTACCATAAAGACGGGACACCACGAGCATAGCTGTCATTCTGGGACTACACCTAGGTAATTACTGATGCATATTCCAATTTTGGTCTCGCAAATGTCATGAACAGTTTCTTTAATATTTCTCTGTGCATATACATAAACTCTGTTCTGAAATTTGCTAACATACTGTAGGATCTTCTCACAATGCTCTTTATGTGGTCCTCTGATGACAGCTTATTATCTAGAGCACTGCTAGATTAGATCTCTTTGATATCAGAGATTTTTAGTATCTTATTCACATAATTTGTAGGTTAAATGTGGCCTGTTCTCACATAAATTATAGGTTGTGTGGGGTCTATGTTCTCCTGTTCCACGTTCTATTGGATTTAATTACCTTAATGTAGTTCCAGAATAAGAGCTATGCTCGTGGTGTCCCGTCTTCCCAGCACTGTCATATAACGCTTTGAAATTATTGACAGTTTTGGCCTCCACCACTACCTCACCTAACTTGTTCGAATTGTCTACCACTTTGTTTGTGAAAGGGAATTTTCTTATATTTCTTTGGCAGCTTTGTGTGTGTGCGCGTGTTGCACTTTGCCCCAGCTTGGGTAGAAGCATGTGCTCTGTTTCTTTATTCCATGTGAGCCTCAGAGAGACAGCCCAAGTGATCATTGCCTATTTTGTTGCACTTAAAACCTATTCTCATCACTTGCCAATTGGTGACAATACAGTACATGGTATCAATTAATACATAATCTGTTAACTACTCCTGCCCTAGAAAAGGTTGTATCTGGCAGGCAGGAACTCTCTACACATTGTCTGTTCCCACCATGTTACTATGGGACTTTGCTTTAACGAACAGGTATCCTCTGTACTTGGATCCCCAGCTCTTCTCAGACTCCAGCTTATGACTGCAGTTTGGGTGAGCACTATCTCTGGCCCCTCTGCATCCTAAGGAACTTGGGGAATAATTCAGTGGGTGCTAAGGAAATCAATTGTTTTCCTTCTGACCCATTCTGGGGTCTCATCCTTTAGGATGGGGCTGCCTTTTTTCTCTAGATGGGAGAATGGTGTATCAACATTCCCAGTTTGAGCTGAATGCTTTTTAAATTTGCCCACAGGCACATTTTCATTTACCAGTGTTTGCTATTGACTCAATTCGTTTGTAAAGGTTCTTGCAATGCTCTCTTTTTGTGCAGGTGAAACTGGATTAATTCTCCAGTCTCCGTGGTGTAGTGGTAAGACACTCGCCTGGCGTTCCGCGAGCGCTTTGTCATGGGTTCGTATCCTGGCTGGGGAGGATTTACTGGGCGCAAATCCTTAACTGTAGCCTCTGTTTAACTAACAGTAAAATGGGTACTGTCTCCACTCGATCATCCGGACTATGTGGGAAGGACCCCCAGCCGGATTATCACATTTTTCGGATAATGGAACTTTTTCACCTACGAGTCCAAAAGTGACCATTTCCAACTATTTTTATACTACAAACAACATAATTTGAATTGCCTTGCCACATATAATTATTAAATATTCAACAAGAAACCTCAACTTACCTTGTTGGTGTTTGTCTTCTTGATTGATGCCACACATCTTGAAGTCTAGAATTCTTAACAATTTACGTAACCTATACTAACACAACACTAAAATTAACACTTAAAATTACTGTACAGTTCATTAAGCAAAGTTAGTTTTGACTGCCAGCTGCTGAAATTCACTGGTTGAAGGCATTTGGGTTGCCTGTGAGGCCTCACTTGTTGAAGCGCTTGCATGCCCTCACTTGTTGAAGGCGCTTGGCATGCCTGTGACGCCTCACTTGTTAAAGGCGCTTGCTTGCGCCTCACTTGTTGAAACCGCTTGCATGCCCTCACTTGTTGAAGGCGCTTGGCTTGCCTGTGATGCTTCACTTGTTAAAGGCGCTTGCTTGCGCCTCACTTGTTAGAGGCGCTTGGCTTGCCCGTGGCGCCTCACTTGTTGAAGGTGCTTGGCTTGCCTGTGAGGCCTCACTTGCTGAAGGCGCTTAGCTTGCCTGTGAAGCCTCACTTGTTGAAGGCATTTGGCTTGCCTGTGACGTCTCACTTGTTGAAGGAGCTTGCTTGTGCCTCACTTGTTGAAGGCGCTTGGCTTGCCTGTGGCGCTTGGCTTGCCTGTGGCGCCTCACTTGCTGAAAGCGCTTGGCTTGCCTGTGGCGCCCTACTTGTTGAAGGCGTTTGGCTTGCCTATAATGCCTCACTTGTTGAAGGCATTTGGCTGCCTGTGATGCCTCACTGGTTGAACAACATGTAACTTGTCTTCAGTTGGTAGGACAACCTTCTTCCTCTTAACACCTCCAGAAGGATTGATGCTGTTATCAGAGATAGTCTTGACCAAAAATGTTCAAAGTTACTATGAAAATAAAAAAGTTATTTAAAAAAATATTTCACTAATGGCGCAGCACTGTGTATAACACGAGGGACAGACGCACATGGGTTGACCAGTGTTGGACGGGTCCACTTGGGGTGGGCAGCTATAGCATATTATGTAGGCTGCCAGGAGGAAAAACTCACAATATTTTTTAAGGAAACTTCAGCCTGTGCACATTGCTTTTAGGAACTTATTTATTTGTTATTACATAATTACTAGTACTTATTTCATTTGTTTTTGGCTATGATTAATTGTTCTAAAATTAATGGTAATTCCTGTACCCAAGTGGTCCCTCCCAACACTCCCCTCCCACCCTCCCAACACCACCCACCAACCCCCACCCCCTCCTCCACCATGCGTCTAGAGCCACAGACGGGATTAATACGGTATGGCCGAATTTTCATCCGGCCAAACCAGCTTTTATCCGGTTCCTCTGACCATTTTGGCCGGATATTGTGATAATTTTATCCGATCACGATTTTGGCCGTATAAGGGCGTTTTCCGGATGTTTGAATCCCGGATAATCGCGGGGATACAGTACTTGGTTGTAACAACAATTCTTCGTGGGAGTAGTATTCCAGGGACCTGCCCGAAACGCTACGGGTACTAGTGGCTGTACAAGAATGTAACAACTCTTGTATATATCTCAAAAAAAAAAAAAATTATTGTTCCTGCCATAATTATACCATAATTAAGTCAAATACTTTTTTTAGAAATACAGTAGGTGTGAGGTATGAGTAAGGGGTTTGAGTGATCCATTGTGGGTATTTTAGTGTTACTATTTGGGCTGTCATTTGATTGTCATCAACAGATAGCAACATATACCAGTTCACACACCAGGTTTGAAGCCCATTGGACCTAGCTCAAAATCACAAGATTTGTAAACTCTTTCTTCGGCTCTTTGACATAATTTTTTTTTAACAGTGAACTCTGTTCACTGTACTTAATGTGACCTGAGTCACTTCTTGCAGTTAGTCTTATTGCAAATATGGTGTCAATACTTATTAAATAATCAGAAGTACAATAACTAGTGTATAAAAATATATTTTACTATAAAATTGTTAATGGTATACAGAAGTTCAGGAATACTGTATATATATTATGGGATAGATTAAAGTAAGTAAAGTTCAAATTTTTCAGTTGCTGACTGATGAGATGGTTAATATATTCATCATTGATGCTCAAAGTGCCTCAGAAGTTGAAGAACAGCTGCAGAAATTTCGTGAGGAAATCCGAATGTGTCGGCCACCAGACGTCCACAAACGAATCTTTCAGTAGTAACCTTCAGGTATTGTTGCTTGTTTAGGGCAAATGTTGGTTTGTGTGTACTGTAATTTCTAGCCACCCCCAAAAAATAATTATGCTTTATTCTGTGTAATACTTGAATATACATTTTCCTGATGGTGACTAGGGCATCAGATTTTCTGCTACATAAAATTGTTTTTCAACATTGTTCTAATTTTGATAAAATAGAACACATTTTTACAGTAGTATCTAAAATCTGTACTGGCATGAACATCATGATGTCTGAGTTATGTCACACCTCATATATAAAATACAAAACTTTACCTCTGATTTTCATTAGGCTAGGCTAGCTTGTGTTGGGTTAGGCTTGTTTACAGATCAGTGATGATATAAAAGGGTACATTCTTTTCTCAAGTCTTAGACCCTGTAACATTTTTTGGGGGAAAGCCCTTTGTGACTCTTGAAACTACAATTCTGATTCAGTGCTAAACTACTAAGTGCCATCAGTCACAGAGTTCTTTTAAGCCTACTGGGAATCACGAGCCAGAACCTGGTCTACCCCTCTAAAGAGGTGCAGAGGGAAGTGGCACTATGGTCAAATTCTCAGTAAATTTTAATCATGTCTGCCACCACAAGGTAAACACCCACAATGTCAGTGAGACAAAACAGACAGCAGCTGGTTATTAGGAAATAGCAATGCCTCAAACACCCCTAAAAGAATTCCCCCAAACGATCAAAATGTTATGAAACAACACAAACTTGTTTGTTCCACCTCTCCCCCTCAGGGAGGGAGGCAGACTGGGTCAGCCAGCTGCTCCACCTTCAGTTCTTGCTGGTGATAGACAGTGTGTGGTGCCATCTCTTTCACTCTGGCACTTATGTTCTGCTACAGCATTGTAACTTCAGGGAGCCACTTGGGCTCTCCCCAGAAAAAAATCTCATTTATATGAGATTTTTATTAAATATATGAGACTCTCGTTAAATTTATTTAAAAGTAAGGTATCTATGCAAAAAGAATATTATTAATTAAAATAAATTTATAGTCAAGATATTTATGTTGGTCTAGATAAGTATGTATTGTACTGCAATCATCATATGATGATTAGAGATAAAGAGCTGAAAGGCATCTTGACTAAATTATTTTGTGGCTGCCTATGACTGCTGGGAGACACTATTGAGCTATTGGAACCACATGGGCAACATCAGCATTGAAACACTGATCAAATTGTTGTTATAGATTTTTTGCCTCGTGTGGACCCCAAGGTAAGTATTGTGGCAAAACAGAAATGCTGAAGTGGAAGGGGTTAGGAGTAGTGCCCTACAAAGGAAGATTTGCTCTTCCTGCACCCTCTTTCATTTTATTAATATCCATCCTCTGTATTATCATGATCTCAGTCCATATTTTTCATATTTTATATTTCAGTATCTCT